TCTAAAAATAGTAGTTTATAAATGATTTTGTGTTTTTAAAAATATACATATCTTTATTGTAGATGTGCGAATGAATACATCCACACACACACTTGCATACGTATGCATGGCTCTGTGGGATGTGCCAGAAGCGCTGCGTGTGGCATCTGGCCTGCGGTGTTTGCACGTGCAGCTGCAACATGTAATATTTGGCGTGCATTTGGTTGTATCCATTTGCATATAGAAATGTTTACGGCGTTGCTGATTCGCAGTAAAACAAAAATAAACACACGCACATATTTCTTTATTTCCAAATTTATTATTATTATCTTTGCTATTAATAACAAATTGGCGAGCTTTTGTTGGGTGAGGTCGAAGTACATTGTTGTTTGTTTCGTGATTTTTTATATTTTTTATTTTATTTTTTAAAAACAAATTTTGTTCACCTGTATGTACATGCATACATACCCTTGTGGTCAGCTTATTAAGTCAAGTGACATTTTGACTTGTTTTGGATATTTTTATTTTTTATTTTTTGTTTATTTAATGTTCATGTTTTTTCAATACAAGTCAAGCACTTTACCTATCCAGCGCGACATAAGTCCATATATTAAACTTCGTACAAAAATTATGAAAATTCAGTAAACTTTAACAATTACACCCAAAATTATAAACTTTTTTTCAATTTAAGTAGATGGAATTGCAAATTTCAACACGTCAAAAAATCGCGTTGAATTTTGATAATTTTTTTTTTGGCTGACGGTGTTGTGCATTCTCTTCGATATAAAGAAAATACCTAGCACCATGAGCAAAAAAAAATTGGGTACAGTTTTTAAAGTTTGTTGAATTTTCATAATTTTTGTACGAAATATGGATTTATTTGGCGCTGGTTAGGTAAAGTGCTAAAACTTTTACAAAAAAAAAATTATAAACATTAATTAAACAAAAGAAAAATAGCGAAAACTAGTCAAAGTGTGAGTTAATCAGGTGACCACAAGTGTAGATTAGGGTGGTAAAAAAAAACAGTAAAGTCAGAATCGTAATGCTCTCACACCCCCAGGATTGTTCTATATCGAAAAAAGTATACCCGTATTTTTTTATTTTGAAATAAAAAAATATTTAGAGGTCGCTCAAGGCGCTCAGAGTTTCCCATGTATTTTTATAGGGGAAAAAACTTTTCCTAGAAATGGTATTGAATTCTTGAAAATCAATATTTTTCGATCAAAAAACTCTGGTTCTCTCTAGGAGTCTTTCAATAATAATATGCAATTATTTATTTAACCATTTTTTAATACTAACGATTTTTTATTGGTCCGCCTTTTGCATTTTTCGGGTTTTTTGTGGGTTTTTGGCGGACATATAAATTACACTGTACAGCACTCGTCTGGGTAATGGACCAAACAAACTTTTTTAAGAGACTGAAGTTAGCCTCCGAAATCGAGATATGGGCCTTTATTTGTAATTATTGCATGTAAAAAGCAAAAAAAAGTAAAAATTCAGACGTAGTCCGCCTTTTGCTCTTATTTATACGGTATATACATCTTTTGTGAAAGCTTATATTACAGGTGCTATAACGGGTCAAATGTCAGATCTTCGAAAAATTACAAACTTAATATTTCAGAAAATTTTTAACTTATTTTAAAAAACTTCGTATCGTTGTAAAGGTGATTTAACCCCCTTTCTTGTGATATGCATATTTGTATACTCCGTGTATAAAAATTTGTGAAAAAAAAAACAAATTTAAATAAAAAAATAACTTTTTTTTTGTATAAAAAAATATTTTAAACAAAAAAATTTCTAACCGATTTTTAAAAAATTGGTATCGCTGTAAAGGCGATTAAAACCCCCTTTGTATTACTAATTAGTATTTTTTTGTTTAAAATATTTTTTATAAGAAAATATTTGTATTTTTTCCTTTTAAGTGTCGTTTTCAAATTTTTATATACGAAGTATACAAATATGCATATCAAAAGAAAGGGGGTTTACTCGCCTTTACAACGGTATCAATTACAACGGGATCCCGGTATTAACATTCCTAATGTTAATTAAGTATTATGCATGCTCAGATTATTTAAATTCCAAAAAAAACATTTTGTGTGTGTGGTTTAACCCAAATGGGACAAGCGATTAAAAAAGGATAATTAAGGAATTTAAATAATCTGATCCTGCATTATACTTAAATGGCATGTAATCAATTTATTCTTATGTATTTCTCATAAAAATCCAATCGCCGTTCGGGGTCGGCGTAAAACTGTAGGTCCCTCCCCTTTGTGCGACAACATCAAGGCGCACGCCACAAATCGGAGGAGAAGCTCGGCCAAACACTAACATATGTGTAAGCGCCAATCTATTATTATTATTATTATTTAAATTTCACAATTTTACTATCAGAATAAAATTCAACGCCTCAAAACCGTTTTTACCTCCTATAAAATCTGAAATTTACCAGCAAGAAAAATATTGCAACTAGTTTGATGGTTTTTTGTTTAATTTTCCGACTTTTCACCATATGCTGATAAGACTATTTTTTTCTTTAATTTGGGCTTGGACAAGCTTTTCTAACATTGGTTCCAAGTATTAAAAAAAAATATTCAATTTGGTAAAAAATTTACTCTCCCCGCCATTTTTGAACAAAATTTGTCGAAAACTTCCCACTGGGGAACATCTTGGTCCAAGGTATAAGGAACCAAAAAAAGGGATGTGTCTGCTCGCAGCACGCTAGGCGCAAGAGTGATATTTGCAATTAAAAACATTGCATAAAAATTAAGTAATTAATTTTGACATGGCAAAGTTTCGAAGCTCAGAAACAGGAATAAAACCGAAATATTTTTGCACAATCTGATGCATTGCAAATTTCGGA